GGGAAGGTGTGGAGAGGGGGAATAGAAGAGTGATTCAAAGATGTTAAAGAGACAGACAGACACAAAGGCAGAGATAAGGTGAGGTGAGAACTATGGAAGTGGTCGAATATGACACACAGTGTGGTCATGGCAAATTGAAGTCAGAAGTCATCTGCCGTTTTAGACTTTTTAGCCATAGGAGTAAACGTTGCCCAGTGTGCACCACATGGAGGTAGGTCTATCGCGCACCCTACTGTTTTATAAATAGCCATCGCCGTCCAACTGAAGACTTAATTTTGGAAATTTTAAGATAGAAAGGGAGGCCATATTGGCCTATAAGAATGAAATGGTGACAAATCAGTGCGTAGTCATTGAAAGTGGTAATTTAAGATCCTTATAATATCAGGGATAGAGAACTCCACTTTTCGAAATTGGTCATTGTCAACGCTTCCTTCAATGAGTATGAAAGACTTTGGCTCGTCTAACAGACATTAGTAGGCAGGTATAACTATACATCGCGAAATACTAATTACGGGTTATAATATAGAGTGTTCATTGGCAATTATAGAAAACTCAAATAATCTCGAGAAATTTAGAAAATTTGGTCGTAAGTCCAGTGATCTTCTAACCAGCCAGCGATTGGCAATATTTATACACTCTATTAGAAAAAACCAATGAGTTCACTTATCTCGGAATGACGTTTGACACAAAGCTATCATGGAAAAGTCACATTGTTAAAGTAGTAGAACGAGTCTCCAATAGACTGAATGTGCTGTACTCCACTTACAGAATGTTTATTCAGCCAATAATGTTGTATTACTGTGAGCTACTCATTGGAGCCACAGCACACAACCAAGAATTACGACTAATTACCGGAGGGATAAAATCAGCACCCATTGATGCAATGCTCCTGGTTACAGGGAGCACTACAATATTTTCCCTCATCATAGAGAAGGCATTGATCCTGTATGAGAAGCTACTGCGCATTCCCATGGACAAGTTCTTCAGTACCTATGAGAATAGACCAAGACATCTGAAAACGTAATCTGGTCCAATACAGAAAGCCAAAGAACTGAAGAAAACATTACAAATCGATAACAAACCAAAAATCCTCCCTCTACCCATGAACCCATTAGCTGACACTGACGTAGTGTGTTGCACCCAACTGCTTGATCACTTCAGGAAAACAAACACACCTCAAGAACAAATGCGCTCACTGGTGAAATCAACCACCCCTCCAGAGCAAATGCGCTCACAGGCCATGAGACAATCAATGTCAACTATCCTGCAGATCAATGGCTCGCTTCAATGTCAACTATACTGCAGATCAATGGCACCAAGTCTTCACTGATGGGTCCTACATAGAAAACCAAGCAAACGTTGGTGCAGGTGTCTGCTTTTGAACTCTTCTCTTTCTACCCAGCAGTGGGACACAATAGATCCGCATTCGAGGGAGAAATAGAGACCACTAGGATAGCACTATGCCAATTATGTTGCCTGGATACAAAATTCACCAAAGCAGTAATACTTTCAGACTCACAGTCAGCAATAGACTCTATTGGAAACAGAGAGTCACCCAAAACAGTTGAGATATACGAATGTAGAAAACTCTATGAGCTGCTGAGAGAGAAAAACAAAACAGTGGTCCAACAATGGACTCCTCTTAACTGTGGCATTAAAGGCAATGAGCTTGCTGACACACTTGCTAAGAAGGGGACAACGATTTTGTAATGCATGGACCGGCCGTTGTCTTCCCACACAATGTAGACCATAATCAGGAGAGAATTCAAGACCTCAAGGTGCAACGAACTTAAAGCTCGAAGAAAGGAGAAACAGTGGACTACCAACGAACTCAAAGCTCGAACAAAGGAGAAACAGTGGACAGTGGAAACTTAAAGCTCGAAGAAAGGGAACAAAGGAGAAACAGTGGACAGTGGCGCTCTCCGACATAGCCGATTGGGGAGAATCGAAGCCGTTGCTGAGTTTAGACTACGTATCGGACAGTCCACACAATGAAGGCCTTAATCAGGAGAGAATTCATGTAATGAAGGCCTTAATCAGGAGAGAATTCCAGACCAAGTGGCACTCTCCGAATAGAGGAGAAATAGTGGACAGTGGCACTCTCCGACATACCCGGCTGGCGAGAATCGAAGCCGTTGCTGAGTTTAGACTACGTATCGGACAGTCCACACAATGAAGGCCTTAATCAGGAGAGAATTCATGTTACCAACGAACTCAAAGCTCGAACAAAGGAGAAACAGTGGACAGTGGAAACTTAAAGCTCGAAGAAAGGAGAAACAGTGGACAGTGGCGCTCTCCGACATAGCCGATTGGGCAAGAATCGAAGTCGTTGCTGAGTTTAGACTACGTACCGGGTACGATTGCCTGGCAAAACACCTGCACAGATTTTGAATATACACTCAACCCACATACCCCCTATTTAACCTACCGGAGGAAATGGAGAATACCCACCTAACTCGGCGTCCAGTCCCAAAGACAACGACGGAAACCCAGAGATACTGGGAAGCAAGAAGACAACTAATGAACTGCTATTAATTAACTATTATATATGTACCCCCCACCCGTGGAGAAAGTTGAAGTCAAAGTTTAAAGGCTAATGATAGTTTTGAGAGTTATAATTAACTATTTAGTTGGAAATTCCAGAGGTTATTACACCAACGCTTCACTCTCTCCCTTTAGCCTATTCCAGGGTTTGCTTTCATTTGAATCAAGCTTAATCATTTATTTTTTCAAATGGCAGGCGTTTTGATAATTATCATTAGCCATTTAGTCAACTTTGGGCTCCACAGAGGGGAAGGAACACCAAAGTCACAAAAGTCGTGAGGGGGGACAGAATAGTGATTCACAGATGTAAAAGGGAAAGACAGACAAAAAAGCAGAGAAAAAGGGAGATGAGTACTGTGGAAGTAGTTGAATATGACGTACAGGGGGGGGCATTGTAGTTTGAGGTTAGAAGTCAACTGCCGGGAAGCAGACTTTCTTGCCGTATGAGTATACGTTGCCCAGGGTGCACCACGTGGAAGTTAGTCTATCAGAACCCCCCCCCCCCCTCCTCACCAGCTTAATCATAATAGGCTTGTGTAAAGAAATCGATCATCAAATTCATCTCTAGATAAAAAGTTCTATAATGAATGGCCTTGCAAGTTTGTTATGAGAAAACAAAAACAAAGGCGAATGATGAGTCGCAACTATTGAACCCCATCTGCTATTTTAACTATTTTTGTTTCCGGATTAGTCCTTAATAAGAATAGAATGGAAAACGGAGCCCAGTCCCCATAATTACTGAAATTTGGGAAAAATATTTTATTTTTACAGCTTTGTCTTCAGGTTTCGTGCCTGTTCGTAGCCACTTTGCCGATTGTCAGATGTGCGATCATATCAGCATCTTTACCTAGACGAATAGCAAAACTCCAGTAGACCCAAATCATCGTTCGACCAACACCACGGATGCACCCTCCTACTACTCCTTGGCTATTTTATTTACTTGCAAACTCCCAACCAGCCACATCGCCCAGGCCCTACGGACACCTCTTATATCTATCGATTAAACATTGTCAACCAAGTTCTGTCTTTGTTCACAGACAGCCTGCTGATCACAACATGCTTACTAAGACGCTTAGCAAAACACCAGTAAAATATCATGCGATCCCCACTTCCACGACAGCATTCTTTTATTGCAACCTTAGCTATTTTATTTGTTCGAAAACTTCCAAGACAACCAGACTCCTTTTGCACTCTGCCCTAAAGCCCTCAATATAATCATCTGCTAATCTTCACCAAAACGTTGCCACAATATTCAAAGCACAAGGCGGTAAAAAACCAGCAGACCGATAATCAAGTGGTCCATGGGATAAAGGGGTAACTAAGTTC